TTCTTATACTTATGATTACCATTTAGAACACCACTTCCTATTTCCTATTTTCCCTCTTAGTTTGTTTGTGGTAAGCTTGCGTTGACAAACTAAATAAATAAAAGCTAGCGTAGAAGTGTATAAATAGTCTATAAGCAGTATTATAAAGTAGAAAAAAAACGAGAATAAAATAACCTTCTTTGATCTTTTATAAACTTTGGTAATTTAAGATAAATTTAAAAGCATAGTTAATGTTGTTTACTAGGAAAAAATGAAATTATTTGCCCTAGTTATATTTAGTAAAAGAATTTTATTTGACCATATTTGAAGGCAGGAATGCTGGCCATCAGTGTCATAAGGGGGTACCGCACGATCTCCTTTGAGGCCAGAACTCCACCGTGGGAGCTGGAGGCTCTGTATTAGTGGTTGCGCCACTGATACAGAGCCGGAGACAGGGACAGACACGGAGGCGAGTTGGGTCGGTATCCTGAGTCTCGAGAAATCGAGGATCAGAAATCCAAACTCCGCCAGGTCCTCGTGGAATGGAAGAAACGACTTGGGCAACTGAGCGCTGGGCATGCCATTATCGCGGCGGTAGGACCCGTTATGAAGGATTGGCTCGAGAGGCATCACGGAACCCTCTCATACCGATTGACGCAGGTGATCACCAGGAAAGGATACTTCAGAGATCACCTGTGTCTGATCCGCAAGGATCCAACGCTTGAGTGCCACCACTGCCATGGCCGGATCATGGACACGGCGCTCCACACGCTGGCAGTTGAGCAGAGGCGTTGCCTCGTTTCGGCCATCGGGGTGGGAATTCTCTTCCTCGGTAACATGAGTGCCGCCATGGTACGGAGCGAGTGATCGTGGAACTCCGCCGTCTCCTTCTGTTATGCGAGTTATGCTTGCAAAAGGAGATGGCGGAGCGGGACCGGGAGAGGTTTAGAACTCTCCCGGCCCGCAAGGCCCGGCAACGGGCCAGGTACCGCAGATGACTCGGGCGCTGGAGGTCATAGAATGACCTCCGTCCTTCATAAGCGCCGGCCTGGGGGCGGTAGAGTGTGTGGTGAGGCCATCTGTCACCCTAGCGAAAGCAGGAAGGGGTGGGGCCGAGACGCGAGAAGCGCGCGCGCCCTTTCGAGAGCACAAATAGGGGACACACGAAGGGGTCATTTACACGCCGTAGATGGCCCGAGGTACGTCGGGGTATCAGGGATTTCCTTCCTAGGGTACACCTGGTTCCCCGGTAACTGGTACCCGAGACGGCATGCGGTTTTTGGTCGGTTCGAGTCCGACATAACCACCGGTGAATGGTATCCGAGGGGATATCCGCAAAGAAAAAAAAAGGACGATATTCCATATGTTAAACTGAGGCAAAGTCGTGGTGATGATGGTAACAACATAACAAACACGACCTTCATTCTAATATAATATTTCTATATATAGTGGGATGGAGTAATTAAATTGTAAAGCCATAACAATAAAAATAATACATTTATATAATATTATGGGCGTAGATTTACACTTACGTTTTTATTATTTTAGAGAAATATTATTATTTTGATTTAGATCTGTGTGGTGACGGATTAAGAATACTGGGTGTCACCACCCTTGCCTGTCCCATAGATGTCGTAAGAGGTGACTAGGATCTGACTGACGCGATCTGACTACTAGGACGACAGCACTGCAAAGAGCGCAAGAGACCGTCCCAACCCGACCCAACCCGTCTGGCAAGCGTGGTATAGTAGGCCAAAACCTCCTTTCTAAAGAGAGGCATATGTCCAGCAGTGGACTATTAAAACCTGTCGATGATTGATTCATTTAGACATAGAAGAATTTAATTGTGATGTTCGGTATAAACTCATTATCATATATTAATTCCTAAAAATATCCATTATAAACCCAGTTTAAGGGAATTGAAACAAGATTGAAAGAATTGAACATAGTAGTAGTAAGCGGCGAGGGGACCGCTTAAACATCTACGCCATCCGTGCAATATATATAAGGACTAGTGGCTATTTCCGGATATATATATGTGATAAAAAAATATATAGTCTTAAATAGGTAGACCTACATCGATGGTTTCTAAATAGTTTCTAAGGATGGTCCAACTTTTTAAGAGAAATACACATATACACGTCGAAAACGTTTTACGTGCATCTATCTTTTTAATATATTATGAGGTACCAAACAGATCCCATTAATACATTAGTTTCAAGTCTATTAAACTATTAGATTTTTTTATTGAGGATAGGACCTGTCCTAATCTACCGATAAACCATTGGTCTATGGCTACATGGATTCTTTTACATTGATGATTGATTTTTAAACTCTACAATAACAAGGCAGTGCAATATCATAAACAGAAGCAGGGTAGGGACAAACCTAGCTTTACTGAATAACACCGCCATCATTCTATGAGTGTAAAAGAAAAACTTATCTTGCGCGAAAACGGAAAAGTGCTTTTCCCAATTATCCGACCGTACTTGAGTTAGGCCGGACGTTATAGGGGGAAGCAGGGTGGAAAGGAGGAGGAGTTGGTCGCGTCCTCGAACGAGCTCTCGACCTTGGCAGGTTATTGACTTGAAGAAGCTTTTACTTACCTCATAACTGCATAGGTATGTATGAATAATGATAGTGATAATAGTAGTTTACAGTGTGTACACTGTAAAGTACTATTATTTTCTGTGCCTTAAATTGAATTGTTAACATTTTTCATTCTGTTATGCTTTATCGTCTCAAGTACTAGAACAATATATGTATTAAGATCTAAGTAAACTCCAATAAACTTGTCCATTATAATTTTAAAACTGTGAGTCATAAACCTGTTTATGAATGTGTGTCAAAAGTAAAATATTTTTGTCGATTTACTTCAGAGAAATCAATTTAGGTGAATATTAATATTTGTCACTTACTGAGTTAATATAATACAATGCTTAAATAAAAATTTCTTGATAAACAAGTTTTTGTGAATATAAGTAGATATTAATTAATGATCTGACCTTGACATAATGTTTTTTTTAAATAATGTATAATATTACTATAAAAGAAGTGGAGCGATAAATAAAATAACCGGTTGATAAAACATCACGTTTAAAAAAAGACTTTTTTAAATAATTCAGTTATATCTTAGACTGGTAGTGAGCTAACATAATTTATTCAGTTAAAAATAAAATTAACGGCAACTTATGACTTGACTTGTGTTTGATAAGAAAAAAAGTATTTCTTACACCGAAGCTTCTTGGATCCTCCATTTTTAAGTATTGTGCTGAATAATCGTATGTTTATGAATGCAAAATGTTTTTGTTTAACATAATGTTTCATATGTGTGGGCAGCAAAAATTAATATCAACTAATATGGCAATCGTCTTATTCAATTTTTTTTAGTACTATTCTCATTCCAAATGCTACGATCACACACCTTTCATTTCACGTTCATGATTAAATAATGAGATGGATATATGATTAAAATAATCAGTGATACAAATGTGTCACAAACCAAAAAATCTATTTCAAAGACGTAAAGGTCACAAAATTATTATGTATTATGTTATTATTGCAAAATTTTATGATATCTGACAAGGTGATTACCCATACTTATATTGTAAATGTGAAAAGTTTGTTTATTTGCAACGCTTTTATGCCGAAACCACTAAACCGATTTTAACTACTCTTTCACCAGTGGAAAGCTACATTATCAGTGGGTGAACTAGGCTATTTATTAAAGTGATAACTGACATATTCGCGGGCAAAGCCACAGACAAAAGCGAGTGATGTATAATAGAATCACTAGATGCACAAACTCATTAGGATACTTTATTTGGTTACGCACATCATAACTAATATTTATTTTAGTTCAAGCTGTCCAAGCAGCTCTAAAACTTAAACTTTAGTAGTGTACTTAAAATAGTAGAATCCAATACGAAAAAAACAAATCGCGTAATAAATATTGATGGAACCCATTGACACACGTTTATATCTGTGTCAATGGGCACTATAATGAATGATTTTAAAATACACACAAATTACTGCAGCAACAATGCATGTTTCTATAGTTGATCGTTGAAAAATTGATAAGGTAGTATTGGATAAACGATGCCGGCACCCTATTTTATTCAAAAAATGTTTTGGTAAGGAATATTATGTTTAAATTTATGTAGAAATCTGATAGCTATGGTAACCAGACTGCTGAAAAACGTACTTATATATTTCGAACAGAACAAATGATCGTGTTCACCGCACAATTATTTGTTCTGGGTGAGAATCGAACCCACGACGTCCGGTCACCAGTCAGGGTCACTAACCACTAGACCAACAGGTCTTTCTTGTGATTTTACATTTAGATAGTAATTCCACAGATTACTATAAAATATGATTTGTAATTGAGTGATTTAAATAGTAAATTAGATCCCTCGAGACGAGTTTCATAATATCAGGATACTATTCACCTATTTACCCTTTTTTTTTTTTTTTTTAACTTGTGGAAATCCCCTCGGACCGTCACCCCACCGGGGTTTGCGGCGGGGTTGTGTGTCGGACTCGGACCGACTAAAACCACACGGTGTGCCACTCTGCGCCTGTAACAGGAGGGATCCGGGAACAGCTGTTGTTAAGACATCCGGACTATTCATTTACCCTATACCAACCCGTCTGGCCAGCGTGGTATAGTAGGTCAAAACCTCCTTTCTAAGGAGAGGCTTATGTCCAGCAGTGGACTATTAAAGGCTGTTGATGATTGATTCATTTAGGCATAGAAGAATTTAATTGTGATGTTCGGTATAAACTCATTATCATATATTAATTCCTAAAAATATCCATTATAAAACCCAGTTTAAGGGAATTGAAACAAGATTGAAAGAATTGAACATAATTGCGCATGTTCGCCTAATTTAAACTGTAAACTTGTTTTCTACATTGAGGAAACAAAATAAATTAATATATAAACGTATTTTAACTAAAAATACTAGCTCACATATACTAAACAGTAGCTTGTTTATAAAACAGTTAAAGTTACTCACTGTTTGCACATTTCTGAGCGTTGGGGAGTGAGAGGAAGCGGCCCGGCTTCTGAGCCATTGTGAGCGTTGCAAGCGCAGCCGCGCATGCCACCAGTAGCCACGTCTGCATCTGAAAAGAAAAAAAACATTATATTACATTTTCATAAGTTTGTTTTTTTATTTCGATACAAAACTTCTTATAATTGATTATAATTATAATTTTTTAGTTCTCTAGACCATGTCATAAGAAAGATGAAAAAAAATTAACGGCCATACAATATTTTTAACAAATATCTATCACTACACACACACACACACACATACATACAATTACACGCAATTTTCGCCTACTGCTACATGTCCCAGAGGCATAGACCACCTCTAGGTCGCTTGTCTATACAGTTATATGAGCGGGAAACGTAATACCGACGTTTTTAATGTCCATAATAGCACGTTAAAATGACGTTAAAAGAGTATATGGAGGCTTTTAATAATAGTCTATTCACAGTTAATTATAAGAAATAATTTATTTGATTGTGGCGAAAACTGCATAACCATGCACTAAGTATTTATTGGGTAGATCAATCAATCGATCAGCAGACAGAAGTGAGAGATAGAAAAGGTGGCAAATGTGTGACACTGCACTGATTTTACACTAAAAAGCCCACTCGTTAATATTCACTCATTTGTGACGTTCCTTTAAATCAACTTCAAGTTGACTTGTACTCGTATTAGTTGCCATACATATATGTGACAGGTCTGGTGTAAGCAAATTAATCTTATGACTGGCTTTTCGTACTTGTACGTATCAAACCGTCGATACTTGGAAACCGAAAATTTATTACGTAAAAAACTGTTTAACTGATCTTAATAAGAATTTCATTATTAAGATACAATTTATACATTATATTTAGTTACAAGCTGGTACCCGCAACTTCGTTCGAGTGGAATTTGAAAAGCGCTGCCTTAGTGGGTTCGATTCCCGGACCGGGCAAAATTTTAAACGGTTCTTCGGAGATTACAAATAGCCTAAGTTACTCCTTATATAGACACCTGGTAGTAAAATATTATCAAAATAGCAATATTACGGCATAGGTAATGAATCGTGTAAATAACCGTGTGAGCATAAAAAACCTATTATTTTGACTTTACAAACAGACACTTCAATTTTATTTATTTGTACAGATGTAGCGATTTTTATCGCTGTAAAAATATTTATATCACGGTGTAGACGTTTTCTTAGTGGACATAGCTTGATTTTATGAAATAGTGTTTTACATATTTTTTTACAATTTTACCACATAGTTGCCTAATCGATAATAATTAACTGAAATCGTCAAACTTAAAAGGATGATTGTCTGTCATTCATAATAAATTAAAAGTAAAGTAATTTAAAAAAGTAAAAAAGTAAATTTAAGTAAATATATATCGTTACGTAAGATCTTGTCTCCCAAATTGTAAAACCTGCGATTCGGGTGACAGTAACTGACCGCGTCACTGGACCGTGTTACATATAGAGTTAAGCAATTGTACCTTATCCGATGTAACGACGCGTTAAACGTTCAATAACCTATGCTTACTGTAAACAATATCTTTATGTACCCTTGGTACTGTCGGTCAGCGTGTCAAGTAAATACGTTGCGAGCTTACGAGTATGTTACTGCGATCTTGTACCACATGTTAATGGTAAATGATGTCCTTTTACCACTGTAACTAATATTTAGGGGACAATTGTTTTAAGATCGCTTGACCCAGTAACTTAGGCGACCGTCACACTTGTATCATTAGTCAACCGGCGCCGTTGTGTGTTAATTACGTAATAACTAGTATGTGGCCAGCTACATTTGTCTGAACACGTTGCGGTGAGAATGCCACGGGCACAATCGCGATGTCGCCATAGGAATATAAAAAGTGCGACCTAAGAACTATCAGCATGTAATCATGGCTTCCCGTGAACATTTTTTTCCAAAACTTTGTCCATTAACTCACCATCTTTATGAAATATTCATGTAAGCAAACACAATTGATTGCTCACTTTGATAATTACGAAGCAGGCGTCACTATGTACTGGAATTGATGAGATAATAACTCGATCGTGTAATGTACCCGGAAACAGGTTGCTGGACAAAGCAGACAAACATATCGTGGGTGTATATACATAGTAGGTACTACAAACACCTCGTGTGAAATATCCTTGACATGGTTGTACTCCCTGCTCTTATGAACGTAAGTATTAATTGCGATCTCACCTCATCAATAAACCATAAGGCATGTCATCATGAATGCGTTAAGGTAAAGACCGTCATACGTTCCAGGGTCCCCTATAATTAACTTCCTTAACCTATTATGGAACATTACGACACACATTATCGCCACTATAACAAAAAACATTTTAATGTTCACTATTAAAAAAGTGCAAGACATTATGCTGCTTGTTAATTGAGCTTTTAAAATACATTTATTATTAACATCAATTTATAAGTACACGTCTATACTCACTTTAATATCACATAACAGTAATATGAACTGCCTAAAAGTTTTTTTTCAAATATTACTTTGAAAATGTTCTTGCATTATTTATTTTACTAATGGCATATCATTATGGCTAAATAAAAGTGTCCAAATTGATTATAGATAAATATCAGAGACCTGACCTCAGTTAGGCAACACTCTTATCGGCAAAAGACTCGACGTGTGTTATGCCATTATTACACAAAATAATAGGATGAATGGGGACCTCCCAGCGCCGAAGGTGTTCGTGTACAGTCGTTAAACAATACCTGTTCTGTACAACAGTTGAATGGTATTCTTCGCGAATCTGTGTCCCAATCGCGAATTTAGTGCGAGTCTCAGCCACAGTGTTTCTAAGAGATGTGTTGCAACAACCCGAGGCCGGTCGTCCGTCAGTTTCGGTCACGATCCTGCTGTTTCGTGCAATGAGTTCGTCTAACGCTTTGCTTAAAACACACTGATGCCCTCCACTCACTACCATTATTATTTTGTACCTCACGTTAGCTTAATTAGTTTAATGACAAGTAAAATATTTTACTTGCTGCAGATATATGCCATTCGCCAGAAGTAGATCAGTATAATGTTGGTTAAGCATAAGAAGTGGTCCTCTATAGCAAATATTAAAATTACTACAAATAAAATTACTACCAAATAAAGGTTGACGTGTCTACTAAGTGAAACAAGACCTTAATGAGAATGAATATTTACATTAAAGTATTATTTCACTAACTATATACCTAATATGTATAATATATTTACACTAAGGTCTTGTTTCATTATCTCCAAACAACAATAACTTCTGTGGAGTTTTTAAATAAGCCTTAAGTCAACTTGAAGTAGGTACTTTATTAGACTTATTTACTTATTAAACATTTAAATATTTTTCAAATGTTGATATACCTGCTGACCAAATTGCGATCTAATATTTAGAACATGTTTTAAGATTAACTTATTTCATATATCAGTTTCTTATTGCGAACGCTATGTGGTCTACTGAGTATAAGGTGATATTTTTAAGACTGTCTACGTAACATTTAGCTCTGTTTAGACAAAGAGCCTAATATGGTCAAACGTTAAGCGGTTTGCATGTTAACATCGTCATTTCAGTACCCTAATGGTTTTGAATGGACATGAAGCATTTAAGGTTTATTCTCTTTGCAAGTACTCACACAGATAGTATATTGTTAGTAGTAATTTGAAATGATACTTTCCCGTCAACTTCCTACAATGTTAACAGCAGATGCTACTTTGATGCATTATAACCACTTAAAGACGTAGTGCTTTTAAATATAAATTTACCTTTTTTTACTGAGTTCCGATTGATGATCATGACTACTATTAAATAATTATGTTGTTTTTAATTAAAACTAACTCTCAGTATTTATTTCTTAAGAGCAAATAAGAAATATGATTATAATATATTCATTTTGTATAATTTGACCGTTGATTCCGGCGTTACCCGATTACTTGATTTATATAATTTATATATACAGAGCCCTGACAGACTAAAACTATATGTGTACACACATATGCTAAAACGGAGGTTTATGTTATTAACCAGAGCCTTAGCCTTGCCTTTGATATTCGTTAGATATTTAAGAGCAGAAGTAAGTGGAGGGTATTTTATTTTCTACATTACCCTGCATTAAGAAATTCGTGAGTTCTTTTATGAATACTTATGTTTACAAGCATCTTTAAGAATAGAAGAACATTTTCTTTAATTCCAGCATATTATTTAAAATCCAGCATATACGAGTAGAATACGATCATAACTTTTTTTTAAACGTCTACTAGCAACCGAAATTACTAGTATTACCGTTAACCCCTCCCGCTAAGCTAAATGGCTTGTGTTAGAAGTAGGTTCACGTCGGTAGTGTACTGGTCAGAATTCGAACCCACGACCTCTTGATCGCAAGTCCAATGCCTTTACCACTAGGCTACCGCCGCTTCATAACTGTTTCATACAATATATGTAGGTTCACACAAGATATGAGTAGGTTCAGCTTTCAAACTCGTGCAAGTCGTTAGTGCATAGTCTTTAACCTATGACCACCATAATATATGATTGGTGGAGAGTTACAAACAGAAGACATTTGCTTTGCAAAACAGCGTAGAATAACTTCGCGTCTTTTAGCCTATTTAATTGTGTTACAAATATTAATACGCAGGCAATACGATCCAAAAAAATGTTTTAATACTTATCTGTCTACCTCATAGGTGATATAGATGTGTCTGTATGTATATGTACCTTCTGATATTAAAACTTGTGTATTTACTAAATACATTATTCTGTTTAAGTCAATACCTACATTTATTTTCACACCACTTACATCAAGAAGTATTTTCAGAAATAAATGCTTATTTAAAAACGTCAGAGCAACATTTTCAGTATCCTCCGTTTGTAACTATTATGAATAATTCAAAACAAGTGGTTGACAAAAACTTTTAAAAGAGCGCTTTTTTTTTTCTTTTAGGAAGAATAACAGCAATTGCCCAATAAGACGACACAATAATAAATTAAACTCAAGTCTACACTTACTATATACCTACTTAGAGATAATTTAATTTACTAGTACTTGTATCACAAAGACAAGAGGCTCATGACAATAATATTCTTAGTGACTACATTTGCATCTCAAGAAGTAGCTTAGGAAGATCGCTCGCTATTAACGGCGCGGGCGCGCTGAAGGTTGTAATTTTGATTAAACTATGTTAGGAGCTTATATACCTAATGATTTTTGTAAGAAAATGGAATGTATGCCATGCTTCGGTTTGACCACAGTGATACCACGGCCTCACGGAAATCCGATGTTATTTCACCGGGTGACTGATCTTAATCCCACTATTCCAATTGTTCAAGTCAAAGAACGGCAACGCACTTCTGACGCCATTGGCAGCGGTAGTCACTTATCATCAGGTGACCTATATTATATTGACTTATATATTGTTTGCGCCTTACACCAAGATATAAAAATTTAATTTCAATAATAAAATATGACTTAATTTAATTATTTCACTTCTTCATAAAATAAAAACTCTTGGAATCTAGTAATTCAATGTATTTTACAAAAAAATCTAAATGCCTAAGTAGCAAGCACTAATTGATTTGAACAACAGTGAAAGGTACGAGTATATTTGGTATGACCTTTTTATTTATCTTTGACTTCTAACAAAATATTGCTAATGACAAAACAATATTTACTTTCGGTAGACTTATAGTAAACAGAGCTTTGTAATCATCGATGGTTAGTCATAACAATAAAACAACAACACACTTCACAAAAGTAACTAAACACAGATAGATGAATCGTAGAAAGAGTTTTGATTTAATTATGAACCTTAGTGATTCACTTATTTAGTGTGATTTTTTGTTTTAAATGTTATAGAAATAAAAAAAATCGTAGATAAAATAATAATAATAAATGAATAGTATTTAATGATGAAATCATCACAGTTAAACAAAAAATTTAAAGTAAAATAGAAATAAAAATGAATAAATGAATGAATATTTGGTAAAGTGCGAACAATGCTTTTCATCAATCGTTTTCATGGTATGCATTATTCAATTGCCGTGAATATTAAATGAGGTGTTTGTCGAGTAATATTTAGTGAATTGATATGTAATATATTATGTCAAATAAATAATTTATAAACCATGTAGTTTATATTTATACTTATGGAGATACGCATAATAATACATTAAATGTTCCTTGTTGAATATTTGTTACTCGTTTTTATCAAATGTCGAATACGGTAAAATGGATCTATCGGTATTATAAACAAAATTAGTTTCTCGAATATTATTTTTTACTGCTAGTTTATCGAAATACTGCACATTTCTTTCTTTTCTTTATTTATGGTTTTGGGGCAAATGCCGCACCGTGATATCAATTTGTTTTTGAACTGTGGACGATATTATATATTTTTTTTAATACAACTCCCTAACTAGGAATATATCCTGTGTCACGGAGAACTTTACAAAACATACATGAAACGGACACAAAGAACACCCAGACTCAGCACAACAATTTGTGGATTATACAAAGTATTTTCCCATGTGGGGATCGAACCCATAATGCTCAGAACAGTAAAAATCGGCGAAGTGACCGCTTAAACCACTACGTCATCAGTGCAGAATAAAGTCAGGGCAACAAGTACCTCTATATAGTTTAAATAAACATAATCAGGCTTTTATGAGTCTTGGATATAAGCATTATGCTCAAAATATAAAGTCATTAAGTACCTCATTTATACTGGCGTTCAAAATAAACTGATCACGAGCTTGGTTTAAAAAGTAAATTTGCGCAATATCTTTGAATATTTGACGTGTTTTATAAGTGATCACTAAAAGGTCATCATATATTCGCCAACTACCTGTTATTAAATCAACATCTTCAAGTTCAATATCTAAAATTTTCGAAAGCTACTCAACAGTGTTGCTAGCTATAAAACTAAATATGAAACTAAAATAATAGGAATTC